AGCATCTTGGGGAAGAGCACTTCTGAGCTCTGATCAGTCAGTATCCTTGTGATCAGGTGAATTCAACCTTCTTGGGGAAGCAGAGTAAGAAAATGATGTACAGATTGGATCCAGGACAGATAATTTATGCGTAATTTCAGTTGCCCACGTACGCCACCCCACAGCATCAATGGTGACTAGTCTAAGCAGGTCTCGCCTACATATAACCTATTTTAAAATCAGATTGCACCTCAATTTACCTTCACAATTCAGACAGTAGCGTGAAGTTGGTCCTTACTAGGACTGGAGTTGCTAGGCAACGAAAGACACTCTCCACAAAACCTGCTCGCAGTGCAAGTCCTGAAATTATTCTTTGATTCAAGCAGGGAGATAAAAATACGGCAAGGTTGTTTGTACCTATTAATGAAAATAGGGAGAAAAGAAAAGAATAGCGTATCGCAATTGCATGCAAAGAAATATCAAAGAGATTCTAAGCTCTCTGTACAGGTACAGTAGCAAGCGAAGAAATAAGATGGTGAGATTCAGAATTGAAGGTGGAAGAAAGGAAAGATTTAGAGACTAAACCTGGATTGAAGCTACATTTCGACAAAGACAACACAAACACGCTGCTCCCATTGGAATTTTTAATGTCATATTTTACTTACGGTATTCAGTAACGTGCTTCAGTGATTATTTATAAGAGCAAAGAGCAGAACGCAGGAAGGCATCCATTACTAAACAGATTAGAAAGAATAGCTTCAGCTAGATTAAAAATAGATGAAAATAAACTTTTGTTCTAAAATTAGTTTGGAGTTACAAAATATTTAATCTAAGCTACGCAGAATGAGTCTGAAAAACTTGTTAAATAGCAATCAACAGCAATTAGAAATAATTGGTAATCAGACAAGCCAAAAATTTGCATAGTAGAATAGATCCAAAAAAAAACAGGTATCTGGGAAGGAAGGCAATACTGTATGGAGAAAGACTTGAAGGGCTGAGGAGGTGTGGTGAAAGGGGCACATTTATCAAGCTGCCCACAATTAGACAAGACATGACCCCAATTCCCAAATGCATCCTCACTGATACTCCTAAATAACATCGTTCCAAGAAATGTATTTTTATAAGAAGGGTATGAGAATCAAAAGAAAACTTGTAGATGAGAGTTCCCATTTTTAACCTTTTGGTTGCAACTTTTGTTTAGAAAGAAAATCCATTTAGATTCCAACAGAAATAATCTCTTGCACCCTTACAGTCTTCACACACCAGTACCTCAAATAGTGCTATTATGAACAGCTATATTAAGGATCCGATTGACGCAGTGCTGGTTATTATTTTTGGGGAAATATGTCTCATTTTGTTTGGAGGTGTGCATCAGGGAACTTGATGCTAAAGTTCTTATAAAACGGCAGATAACTGTACCAGGCAGAATGAGTGACATGGCATCGCTGTGAGGTTGTGTCTGCTGCCCAGTATGTCAATACGATTATTGCTGCCCAATAATCAATATGTATAGTTATTCTTAATAAAGTACAGGGTCATCACACTCAGATTCTGATATCCTGTCACTGGAGAGATCCTCTGCAGCACAAACAGACAGTAAAGATGAAATGACTGTTTTTAAATGTTCAGGCTTTTCAATTGCCTAGCAATTACCTGTCAGCAGATCTCTTACAGAAATATTTTAAACCTTTCACACTTTAGGCATATATACAGTATGAATTAAATGTCTTGCTTATAAATAAATGCTGCATGTCCCAGTATGTGAATTTTTAAAGAAATATTTTAAATTAAATGAACATGTAAGTGCTTGATAAACTGAAAACCTAAGAAACAATGTGATAGAAAGGAGAATGGAGAATAGTTATCAGGGGAGGTTTTCTATACATTTAGAGCTGGTGTATGACCTAAAACATCCATCCACCCAGAGACTGAATTTAAAAGTTGAAATGATCACTGCACATTGTAAGCAATGTACAGTATGCTAAATATTTTCTGCCTGCTTTCCCTGTTTTGTGCGGGGAAATATTTTGATAGTTTAATCAAAGAAGGTATCTTCACCTTCATTTGCGTTTTAAACAGCAGGTTTATTCCACTGAGGGAAAAGTAAGCATACCACCTAACCTACAGGAAAAAAAAGGCTGTTTCCATCAACTTTAGAGTTATTCAATCTGTCTGTATTACTATGTTTGTTTGTCTGCCTGTGTAGATATCTCTCTGGTCTGACTGTCAATCTGTCTATCTACATTAGTAGGAAACACTGTTTAGGGATTATGTTGTTTTAAAGAGCAGAATTTACTACGATTTGTGAGATAACTGTATATTAACATTAATTAGCTAACTTTATCACAATGCAGGAAAGCAGAACTCTGTAAAGTAACATCTAATTAATCAAAGTAAAGATACCATCTAATACTGTGCTTCAAGCAGAGATAAACGTTCGCTAAAAATGGTCACATTTACTTTACACTTGTTGTCATCCATAAGCAACTACAGTACATAACATTTTGTATGATTTTAGATTGATCGAAAGTACATTATGTTTGCCATTCTATGGCTATGTGAAGAAAATTGACCAATTTAAGCCAAATAACTGATGTATATACTGTATCTGTAAATATCTGTTGCTTTCCAGTGATCAAACCTCCGTAATGTTTGTTGTCATGGTGCACAGATGATGTGTGCAATGACATGTTACGCTACATTGCAACAGAATCGTAGGAGACCTATCCTTAAAAGAACAATCTGATAGTTTGCAATTTTCAATAGAACCCTGAAAAATTGATTTTGCTTCACATGCCCAAGGGACGCCCTGAGCCTCCACTTCAATAATCCAGACCAGAAAAGATTACCAGTGATAGTGTTCTGTATACATAAACAAACACACCCAGATCTGCAAATGCAAACACACATACACACATAAAACAAAACGAACTGATTTGGAGGTTACACCGAGGATTATAATAAACGTACATGTGTTTTTAAATGAATTTAACACAAAGCAGAACGCAGGTAGAATGCATTTCCAGCGAACGGAGTGCAGTAGCTCTCCCTGAGTGCACACAAAACAATGACTAATTTCTGCAGGGAAAAAAAAAAGCCACAATTGAAAGTTTTCCAAAGCCAGGTCAAATAGCAAGTGTCTGAGGCTGAAACATTTGTTGGTGTAAAGTGATCATGTGCTCTAAACAGAAATGTGTCCAATCAGTCAATCACCCAAACTGAAATGCTTCACTTCATTAAGCACCGCAATCAGGAGGGAGCGGCACAGGACAGCATGCTATCAGTTAGAGATCAAGGGAAAAATAAGCTTAGAGAAAACGGCAAATATTGAAAGCCGTACTATACAGTTTCTCAAAGGCACTGACAGTTGTGGACAATTGACATGATGCAAGAGACCTGTACAAGTGCTCAGCAGATTAACTTGCTGCTCCAGTGTCGTGACTGCAGTTTCTCCTTGAAAAAATTGTTTCTTTGGCAAGCAAGTGTTGTTGCAAGAGGTCGTCTTCTGTGCATACAGAAAGTGCAAAAAAGGAAAACTCCTTGTGCATGTTTATTTAATTTAGTTTGGCTCTTAAGCATAAATTATAGCTCACTTTCTTAAATTTGGAAATGTCAACAGGTATTTTCGAAATGTGAGCGTTATTGAATACAATGTCATTGAAACACCCACTGGAACGTGCAGGAAATTTTAATGAAATATGAAGGTGACGTCTGAAGGGCTGACAATGAAAAGAGCAGAAAATTTGTCGATAAGTGCAAACATCTAATTTTCAGTCTGTGAGTATTCAATCAAGGGAAAAGTCTCACAAAACAAAATATTAACATAGCATTAGCATTTTTGAATTGGGCAGGTGAGTGCGTACCGGGTATATAAAGAATGACACCACTGGCATCTGTCCATTAGCCCTGGTCATAGGAGATCAAGCCAGGAGGTTAAAAGGTGAATGCAAGCAGATGTAATAGAATCAACTGTAATAAAAACACAAGAAAAATATCTAAGGTTAAATGCAGTGCAGATTTATTAACTGTAATAAATTGCAGCATACTTATTGTATTCACAGTAGAATAACCTGTCAAAGGTTATCAACTTCTTTTTTTTCTGAATAATATTTTTGATTTTATTATTTAAAACCGTATAAACAATTACTCCAAAACAACAAACAACATGTACAATCCAATGCTGCTACAGTGCCTTAGGTGAGGTCTGTGAGGTTTGTATATGAAACTGCTAGCACTCTGTGAGGATGCGTGCTTTGGAGCAGATTGGGCTGAGACACTGGAACATGTTTCCTGGCTATCGGAATCCATTAGTTCATTCACTAATTACACTGCTAATAAGCTCCCCTAGCCTCTCTCTCATGCACACAATTGATCAGTCATATCCGTGCTTTCAAAAATATAAGCCCCACTTGGGTACAAGTTTAATTAAATTATGTAAAATGAAAGTGCAAAGTTAGTCCCTTAATGTTTCTATATTACATTTTTTCAGACATCTCTGAAATACAGACTAGGATGGGATCTTTCTTCCCTAGTTAGAGTGCTGAGGAGAATAAGGAAAAAGGACGATATCACATTTTGTTTTGGGTTGTTTTTTTGGGGGGGTGAAGGGGTATTCTTATATCTGTACCCACAGTTTCTTGGGGAGAAACACATTGTTTTAACCCAGAGGAAGTCTTTCCCCTGAAAGCTTTTCCCACCAAATACAGCAGCAGTGGCCTTGAATGATCCGGTTATACGGAGCGTCCCTGAAAAACATGCCTCTGCATTTGTAAGAAGAAACCAGTCTTGCGTTAAAATTTAACAAAGTCCAAAAAACACAAATAAAGTGATGCTCAGTAAGCCCTGCCCTGTCAGTGGGAGAGGGGACGGAAGTTGCATTATCTTTTGAACGGCATCCAACCTAAGGGAAAAAAAGAGTTCATTCACAAGCACAGCTTCGCGTCTTGACCCACATTACTTCCCTGCGCCATGGCAACCTTCAGCCATCTATTGTTCCAGGGCGAAGTGCGTGCCAAGGAGCGCCTGTCACCTTCCTGTGCTTCCGCCTGCAATGGCAGAGCAGAACATCCCAAATGCAAGTCAGCTCGTCAAGCCTTATTTTGTGAAATTCCGCCTCCGAGTAATATTGCACGAATCCGACGCCCTGAGATGAATCACCACAATCCAACTGCAGTGCACCCTGGCAAACATGCAGCTGAGACACCAGCCTCAGTCTGATCTTGCCAAGTGGCCTGTGTTCAGGAAAGGAAGCAGAGAAGCTGCCAGGAGGCACAGAGTCAGACTGCACAGTGGGGCGACAGTTGACAAGGACCAGGAGCTCTGCCACTCGATGGGCTCACTCTTTGTTGCTTTTGCTCCGACGAACTCAAAGGGCTCTCGGTGACTGTACTGCAGCCGACAGGTGCAATTACAGGTAATTGAGTCCTGTAGAATGTCTCAAATGCCAAGAGCTAAGTGAACAGAATCAGCTAACGATCAGGCTTAAGGCACTGCAGCATCGCAACATGTGGGAGGATTAAATCAAACACAACTTCTGTTATTCTGAACTGCAAAGCCGAGAGCATTCATTAATATGTTAGGTCTCTCACCTGTGGATATGAAATGCTTATTCCCCAGAAGCTACCACAAGCTCCGGGGAATGGGAAAAAAAAAGTCATAACTGCATGCATGATGTATACCTCGTCACATTTTTTCAGAATGTGCATTTGGGTAATTACTCTTTTAGAATATATAGCACAGTGATAAGGAATAGTAAGCACATAAGGGGGTGTCTACAAGACAAAGCCTTGAAAACCAGATTGCTAGCAGCACTGAGGGTGCTCAGACAACAAGAGCACTGTGATGTGTGCACAGTGATCCTTTTCTGAGGAATAAAAGTCAGAGGGCTGGATATAAGACAGTAAAATCAAAGCCCAGCTGGATCTTGTTGCTGAGAGCTGGATTGGCGTTTCGTGCGGTTTATGTAAAAAGACTTGCTCAAGGAAAAAAATAATAATAATGTGCAAAATGTCAGCGTTTTTCCTTGCCACTGTTGAGTAGTCTGCAAACCAGGTACAGTACATGCCAGTGCTAGAACACCAGAGTTTGTATATGGACAGGTGGGTGGGACACCACCGAGGGTACATACTGAAGTCTCTACAGACACTAATCATGTAACTGCATTGTGAGAAAGGCAGATGGAAAGCTCTAAGATCTGTAACAAAATCCAGTCAATGGCACCTAAATACACTCTTCCCAAACTCCCCCACAACACAACAGTCTATTATCGTCTTGGACATGATGAACATTTATCCAAGGGTTTAGTCAATTTAAGACTTTCCCCTGTATACAGTAATGCATATTTCATGTAAATTAAATAATTTCCATTTTTCTGTTTTTTTTTTTAATTCACTCATATTAAAACATTTTTTTTTTTACAGCTTGATTTAGTTCTGTTTCTGGAATTCAAAAATCAGTCGTGAAGATTAAGTTTTATTTTCAAAATGCGGCCAAAAAGCCCTTTCTCACTTCAAAGGAAATATGCTAACTCAATCGCCAGACACTTTAAGAAAGCTCAGACCTCTCTGAAAGAGCGAGATCTAGTCCAGATGTACTTTGGGTATAGGTCTAGCTAAATTAATTTTGATTTTTTTTTCTCATTTAATATAAACAGAGCCACAAGTCTTGATATTAATAAGGGTGAGATTTTATTAAATGCAGCAGAGATCATAAATACTTAATTTGCTGTTGGTAATGCCTCCCTGTGCAACCTATTTAGGATGTTTTAAAGCAAACAAGGACGCAATTTAAAGGGCACTGGCTGGACGTTGAGTGTATCAGGCCAAGCACAGTGAGACTGTCGGCTGAATCAGGCTTATATTTCCCGGGCGATAGAGTACAGAAACACTGGAAGACCGTCTTCATGGCAAACAAAAGCAAAACTTCTTTATGCAGATTTTCATATAGTTGGTGATGCATATTTTTTCCGTCACATTTAGACTATGCACATTCATTTTTTCTTGCCAATGTTTGTATGGCTTAATAGCTTATGAAATACCATGTCATGTATATAATGGTGGTCTGAAGAAGGAGAATTTCTGTTGATTCTGTGATAATATGTGTTTTCAAACAGAGGTATGCTTGTATTCAATCTATCAATGAATGTAGTGGATATACTGTACAACAACGTTTCCAGCTTGCCTTTTTAATAAGATGTATTATTATACTTTCAGTTCCCTTGTCAGGTGTCTCATATCACACAATGCAGTGATTTTCTTTTGCCATGCAGTGCCAATTATTTGCTCTATTTTCATGTCTACGAAAGTAATGATATTAATGCATGCACAAATAAAAAAATTGGGATTGTACTGTTTTTATTAACATTGCCAATATCTGATTGGATCCAATATCAGTCCATTAGTATGTCAGGTAAATGTTACACTGCATGCAGAATCTATATGTCATATTTTCAGTAATTTTTGTAAGTGAGGTGACAATTTGTCTTTTTAAGAATTTGTACTCTGTTCGCTATCCTCTGAGAAGTGTAAGAATCTGGTAGAAATGTGTTTTAACAACACCTGATGGGGATGTGAAATGCACAGAACAGGGAATAAAGGGTGTTAAATAATTTGTTAACACTTTGAAATCATGGTCATGGAGTCCTTGTGAATTTCCTTGGAGGATCTGTTATTCCTGTGAATATGAAATCTGTTTCAATGCATTATGCATAAGAGTCCACATAGAACTTCTAAAGAATCTCTGAGAGAAACAAAACATTCTTCTGGTACAATTAGAAACACAAGAAATAATCTTTGTTTATCTTTATCCTGAAACCAATGGGCCTTGCTTGCATTTATTTGAGTATTGTCTAAATCAGAAAAGAAATATATTGGACTTTTTACAGAGAACATCCATGACCAGGGTTTTATGCACAGTGTGTTATGCACTTTTACCTTATGCATATTTTAATAGGCTACATCCCCACTGGCATTTGGAAACTGTGCTAATTGACAGAAATCCTTTTCTAGATGCTGGATGGACTCAGTCTGCCTGCTCAAGCTGGTGCAACTGAAAGATTGAACTCCCTCCCTGATTCTCTGTGTGTTTTTGAAAAAGGTCCCCTTGCTCCAGACTTAATTGCTGCCAGTTCTTTTTACACGGGCAGGAATGGCTTTCAACCCAGCTATTGATGATACCTCAAAGTTTACTTTACACTTTCAAAGAAAATGTGAAGCAGTTACAGTACTGAAACTTTTGCTGCACTGCTATCATTTTTCTAGTTGCTAATTATTTCTGAATTTCAAGGTTTAGTTCTCATGCTCGTGGTACTATATATGTATGGCAGTGTTATAGGCGAAGGCACACTCAGTGCCGGCAAGTCTTTACTCAGGGGGTCTTGCTTGTGTTAATAGAGTCAGCAGGGTGCTGGACACTGCTGAGCTAATGAACTGTTATATAGAGAGGTTGGCATGTGTAAGCCTGCGAGGATCCCTGTTAATACGCATTTGAGATGCCTTAGTCAATCCTGCCAAGTCTCCCAATTTTAAAAGGTGACTCTCAACAAAAAGGATGGACAATGCTTCTGCCACAGATTAACTCCAGACAGGGGTTGGCCACTCCCTATTTTCTTGTTTGCAAACTTCATAGCAGCTCATATGATGACTTATTGATTGAGAAGTTATTTGTTTCCTATTTTTATTACTGGAGGGTGCTTAGAAAGTGTCCAGTGGAGTAATGAATCTCATTATGATAAATGATCAATATGACCAATATGATAAATGCAACCATTGGGAACATGTTTCCAGGTACAGTGGCAGTGGACACTGAATACTATGTCCTCCCACTACCAACATCATGTACACAGACGATGATGAGATGGATCTTTATTCAAGGAAATGATGATCTATGTATCATCATACATAGATCAGATCCATGGGAACATGTTGCACCAAAGTCTGATTCACAATACTGTACATATAGAAGTTTTCAGACCACAGGCAACAGGCGGCCTCCAATCATAAGCACTTACTTTAGATCATGCCTGAAATAATGCTGTTGGGACAGAGAAGAATGGCATGTTTTGTAAACTCACTGTCTAAAAATGTGATTGAGAAACCAGAAGGTGTCAAGTGGACTGATTACATTTCTGGGAATTTCAACCTGGTTTCTCCCTTGGTAGAGGTTTCTTGAAGTTTCAGCAAATTGTCAAGAAACTGAGAATGTTTTTCAACAAAAGAGTTCATGAGAAAGCCAGCTTCAAGGCTTTGCTTTCCCTTCGTCTTGGGCCACAGACTGGACCTTTGCCATGTCTGGTATTTGAACCAACCATTTCACCGATGCATGAATCACATCCTACATAATTTAATGTGGCAGTTTAAAGAAAAAGGACCACTGGGATCTCAATGAAATGCTGAGGGCGAATGTTTCCCCTTCTTTAAAATGTCTCCTATAACAAACTTCACATCCATACACTGAAGAATTCAGTCTGTGTTGCAGAGCAACAACTTTATACTTGTTATTGTTTTCTATATTAATTAACATAATAGCACCTTACTATGTTAATTAATATACTATAACTAACTATACTTAAGAAGCCTTGATCAAACTCAGTTGTGGCACTGATTCAGTTCAGATACTGTAGCTTCTTACACAGCTGTAACCATCATTCTGCTTTTAATTGTAAGGCCTGATAAATAGAAACTGGGAAATAAAACTCTGCAGCTAGAAGCTGCCAAGGAAAAAAGTACTTTAGATAGATTGCGATTTTGTGCTAATTGACTATAGCCTTCCTCTCATTTAAGAGCATTAACTCTGAAAAGTCAGTTTGAAAAACTAAATCTTCTCCAAACGCTACAAAAAGTAAGGATGTCTCTCTAATCGCCCAGCGTGACAGAGCGAGTGACTAACAATTGCCAACACACAGATGGGACACAGAAGTTCAGGGAACATGTAATCTGTACTCAGGAGACACCAGAGAGAGAAGAATTGGCATATTTGGACAAATTGTCTCGGGAACTAATATCCCTGTTTAATATCACTTGGCCTGAACATACACAAAAATCTAATGGATATCCAAAGATAGTGCAGCAAGCACTTAGTTCTTGTTTTAGTGATCACTGGGGGTTTTTACCCCAACTGTTTTTCTGCCAACACTAACAACAGTTACCATTGACACACATTCTGTTTTATGTAACGGGTTAGAGGCTTTTACTGTATATCTATTCATGTTCTATCATCTAGTGAGGACTGTTCCTGGGCTGTTCTGTGGTTTGTAGCACCCTTGTTTTATCTTAAAGCAGAGCTGTCCTATCCTGTTCATATAGGGCCAGTGTGTCTGCAATTATATATAATTATATAATTTATATAAATGTGCACATTTATATGTGCAGACTGGCTCTAAGTGAGCTAAATATCCTGGTTGCTGGCTTAACTGGATCATTTTCATGGCTTCTCCAAGCCTCTCAGGTACTACTGCTCTAAGGAGACCTTGAACACTAGCAGACAGACCGGCCAGGTTTTAATATTCCAGATATTTTTACTTTGCATTGCCTTGCAAATGTATTTAGGCCTTTGTCTTACATTTTATTTTACATTTTATTGCTTTACAGCTTGCAGTAATGATGCCTTGACTTAACAATATCTGATATATAAAGTGAATATGAAGCCAAGACTCAATTTCGAAGACTGAGAAGCAGGGGATAACATAATTGAGCACAGATCAAGAGAAGGATGCAAACAATATTGAAGTCTTTGCATATCCCATTTGAGGACAGTCTACTCAATCATCAAGAAATGGAGGGTGCATCACTGCCTAGTTCCCCCATGTCACAGTCTCAACCTTTGATTTTCATCCAATTGCAAAGAAGTGCAATGGTGTTTATTATGAGGAACTGTTTTCCCAAAGGCTACACCAAAAAAACAAAGTGAAAATACAAACTAACCAAGGGTGGAAAAAACCACGAAACTTTAGTGCAATAATATATACATTAACTGATTTAAAAAAAAAAATAGATTGTTGTAGGTAGCTCCTATTCTACGCTATGACCAACTTCCTCCTGTTTTGGGGAGCTCCTTTTCTAGGTTAAACTCCTCCCCCTAGAATATTCCACTGTAAAGAAAAAAAAATCTACAAAATAATAATCAGAATTCTGACATACACCTTTCTCGAGTGAGTACACAATTAAATAATGAACATATTATTAACAACAATAAAATGTCATAACTCCTTTTATGTATATTAATATTTTTAAGAAAATACTACCCCCTCTTAATGGTATCTTCTTACAGATTGATACACGGATGCGCAACACTGGAACAGGCACTACTTAGCCAGCCCCTGTCGCCAGGCTATGGTTTGGGTCCTACAGGTTGCGGGAGAAACCATTTTGCCGGCGAGAAATCAAAACAAGGTATTTATCTGAAACATGTGAGTTAGGCACCAATTTAGTTCATTTCACTTATAAAACAAAGAAAAACGTGTTTGGTTTGAGTAAGTGTTTTAATTTCGACCATAAGTGAACAACCTTTCTTTACCCTGTGTGTGCAAGACATTAAGTTCCAACATTTTTTTTTCTTTTTAGTTTTTGCTAACATTTGCTGTATCTTGCTCCCAAAAGACTATAATTTGATCATTTATGTATTGTATAAAATATTTAGTTTTAAAAAATGTGCATGGATCATTTTTATTTCATTCAAAGGGACACCATACTTTACGAATGGTCTGAATACTTCTGCAAGGCATAGCAGCTTGTTTCAAATAGGAAACTCATCACTCCCCCCAAAAAAATAGATATAAAGTCTAAAAAAGACTATGCTTTACTCATATGTACCTAGAGTGTCATTGTGTTGACATGATCATCCATGTAGAGTATGTGAACAATAATTATTTTTTCAGTTTTTTTAAAAATACAATATTCTCAAGAGCTCAAAGCTTCCCAAAGTAATTGTTTCTTTTTATGTGATAGTTCAGATGATGTGCTATATTTTCCTGTGTTTATAACTGAGCAATTAATTTTAGCATTTGAAAGCAATGAGATATTGTGAAACTGTATCCATGTTTGATATGTGCAGTGCAGTTTGCCTCAGTAAAACACTTTGTCTTTCAAGGTGAAAGAGTCTGGTCTGACAGTTTTGCACTGCTATTACCACTAAGGAAATGCAGAAACATTTCACACACCTGAACCTTTGAGCGGGGCAAAACTGAGATGAGAATTTTTTGGGGTTTTCTTAAATTACAGAAATTCAATAATAACTGTAGTTATAGTTCAATGACCCTGTACTGGATAAAGTGGTTTATGAAATGGCTGGATAGAAGAAAGTATCGTTACTGTGTGGGCAGATGGAGATATGGTCCATAGTCTTCAGCATGGGGTGAGAGAGCCTACCTATTGCAGTAAAACCTAGAAGTAACCATGTGCAAAGCCAGTATCTAAAACCAATTAAACATAATTAAAGTTTTCATTTCAGGGATATAAATGACAACTACGAGGTCTTGTAACTTTTAATATTTAGCAATTTATTTCAGGTATGCTACTCTGATCATACCACTGAGGCACTTCATCTAAAATGCCAAAACGTATTTAAATCTTGTGAAATTGTAGCCGTCGTTAACTTGACGGTGACCTCTTCTAATAATTAACAGCATTTACAGAATAACCTAATTATGAAACATTTATAATGTTACATTTGCAATACTTCAGATACGAGAGTGCTCAACACCATTGGTATTTAGATTTTAATTAACAGCTACATTTACAAGTATTTCTAATATAAACATAGCTATATTGAACATACTTGTTTCTTGGTGTATTGCGGCACGTCGGCTGACATTAAAAAGCAGCCACAACCTTTCATTACTCAATATTTTAATCAAGTATTCAGTATTACAGTAAACTCTAGTCTTCAAGGGGGAACAAAATGCCACGAAATGACAAATACCCCTCAGTTTGTGGTTTCAGTTTTTCTGGTTCTTTCTGCCTCAATGAAGAGTGGTTCAACTGTGAGGGAGCGCGTTACCCTGCAAGCCCAGGGCATTTCGTGGTTGCCTGGTTACAAAGTGGCAAAGACAGGGGGTGGGAAGGAAAGTGGTTTTAATTGCAAATCAGGTCACTGCACATTAACCTTTCTGTTACCCTTCCCCCTACTGAGTGAATGGCAAAACAGGTCTTTGATATTTGCACATTGACAAACATACCCCTACCATCCTGTGGACCACTGTAGCCGTTTCAGCTGATTGTCTGGTAATGTGAACAATCTCAAAGGCAGGCCACAAATCTGACAAATGCACAGCGGTGGATTTAGAGTAGTTGTACTTGTAGCTGTAGTACAGTAGTAGCCCTAGTAGCAACAACAGCCATCATCATCATCATCAAAGACACTGTGCCTTTATTCAGGGCAGTGTAGAATGGAATGATGAAACGGTGTGAGGACTCGTGTGACAGTCACGGTTCCGCACGGGGTCGTGCCCCCCGCCGCCCGCTCCGGCCCCTGCACCTGGGGCGTGAACCCGGGTCACCGGCGTAACGCAACAGGGCACCAACCGCGTGAGCTAAAGGAGAGCTCCCCCAGCCCAGGCAGCTGAGGAACCTGCTACGCGCAGTGAGGGCACTGACGTCACCACACCAGCTCTGGTACACTCGGGTTTGGAACAAACTATGCACAGCTTAAGAGAAAACTGCATGCCTACAAATGACTAAGATGTGTAGGGTGAAGTAGGTTTTTTTAATTAGTTGGAGTCACTGTAGATCACAGTGGGTGATGCATAAACACGAAGGCTTATTAAAAGAGAAAAAAACGCGCAACTCTTAGCTCCAGGTACAGATGAGAAGGAGGCTGTCTGAAGTGATGAGCTCTCCTCTGCAGCCACGGGATTCCATGAGTGTTTTATGCCAGCTGAGTGTAACCCTTAAGGTTATGCTGCATTCCCTGAAGTACTAAAAAGGAGGAAAATTATAATGCATGCTGTCTTAGTCATCTCCTCCAACATGCCCCGGTATGCGCTCATCTGTATGTGATACTGACATGTGTGGAAATATCATTATCGCCGCCATACAGAAAGATGCAGTGTGCTCGGCAGCAACAGTCAGGTCTTTCACAACATTTGTGGAAAAAAAGAAATTATTTGAATTTGGCTACTTTAGCTTGGAAGCAAGTCTTAAGAACCCAATTCGTATGATATTGAATACAGCACATATTACTGTATTGAATGACACATTCATTATTTCAAATTTAAAAATACAATGGTAAGTAATGAGGGTAGTACAGTATTTTAGAAATTTAGAGATAAAGCCGAACCCAAGGAGAGACAGAAACTAGACAGTCAGGACTGACGCGTAAAGACCCAGGGTCCAGGAAAGACGTTGATGGAGCCACCCCTGTATGGGATTGCACTGTCAGGGCTACAGAGGCTGTAGAGATCATCCAGAACACTGGTGAAGACTCCAACTGCTTGAAGGAGACTCCAGTGGGAGACTGTAAATTTGCCCCCAGGACAAAGTCACCTCGCCCTGGAGGTCAGTTGGCAGCTTGAGACCGTAAGAGAGGATTTCAGCTTAGAGGACCCTTTTTCAAGCAGCTGCACTAGATCTTGCCAGTAATGGGAGAGGTGTCCCTTCAAGCACCTTCATCTCTCTGGAGGTGGTAGTGGGTCTCTTCCAAGCCTCTGTTTCCCATTTTTAAAAGACTCCATTATCCGCATGGCTTTGGGAAAGCAGGCGAGCTGGGTGAAAGCTGTGAGATAGATAAACTCTGCATGTAAATTTGGATATTTTTGCAGAGGTCACTATTGGTCTGTCAGGTCCCACTGTTATCTATTTCAGTGTTATTTATTTTCTTACCAGTCTGTGTTGAGAATTGTTTGTGAATGTGTTGGGTGGATGCTTTCTATTAGTGGCTTTGTTGCTTATTTGTCTTTAGTTGTATATGAGCTCATTGAACCAAATTCCATGCAACTGGTGGTTATGGCAAAAGGTATTGAACTTCAACTTGAAATCAGGTTGGAAATAACCTGTCTTTATAGACAGGTTATAGTCAGTCTATAAAGTCAGTTATGTACCAGTTTAGCTATTTGTACCACAGACCAAAAACTGCTGCTTTAGCTTTAGAGTACTTTATCACTGCATTATATTTCTCTATATTATAATTACAGTTACTGGTTTATTTACACCAGTTTATAGTACACTTTCCTATTAACTTTGTCATTTGCTGATTATTTTCAGAATAAATGGGGTGTTTCATAAGGGGGACTTCAAGCTGGCATAGACGTGGGTAGGATCTGGTTTCAGTGAGATTAGTACTGCTTGTTTTAGCTGTTGCTTTTAATCTCTGTGTTTTTACTGTGCCAATAAGCTACTTAATTTGATTTGATTATTTGTCCCACTTGCTGTTTTCTTACCCTACATACACCCACATTAATCAAGTCCCCCCACTGGCTATTGTTGAGGTGAGGATGTAGCTATGCTACCTAAACCCCAAAGGTAGGGTTTAGTGGCAACACTAAAAACTGAGCAAGGTAATACCTACTGTACAGTTGCCTTCATATCTGTTCTTATTAATAACTTTTAGACTGTAATTAGTCTACATAGACTAATTACTGTAACTGGTGGTTTAGCATGACAATCCAGATGTACAGTCAGCATTTTCTGATGGAAATAAGTAACAAAAAGAAATGTAAATCAATCAATATTGAATGTGTAAAATAAACATCTGCTAAAATAGTTCCTTGCAAAGCTTGCATTTTCACCCTCTTGCAAAGTCCATTTCTGACTAAGCTTGATTTTCTTGATGTAAGTCATCCGTTTTTGGTAAAAAAATTCTTTTTTTTTAAAAATTTGTTTTTTCCTTTTTTTCTAATTAAAACACAAGGACCACAGGTGGCAAAACAACATCAAAACAACATTTTACGGAATGAGGTGGAACAGATCAGTTCCATTTCTCTTCTTCACAGAATGGATAGCATACCTTTTCAACACAACATTCACGTTTCTGTGCTAATCCTTCTCTAGTTGAGGCAGTTTAAAACAGACCCTCTGGTTTTTTAACAATGTTCTAACTTTTTCCACGATGACCTGGTACTGTGTGCTTTGCCTTTGTGAACAGCCTCCTTAAATAACCTCTGACCTTCAAGAGGATTTCCTGAAACTTCTAGAAACTTTGGGAGGCGTTGTGAAACCACCAGAAAACTAAATCCCATTAAAGGATTAAGTTCATTTTCAGCATAATTACATGGTATGAATAATTGAACACTGTGAACTAGAAATCTGTGTAGGCCACTCAGCCAGTAAAGGCACAATTTGAGCTCCATGATTGTGGGTTTGAGTTGTCACCAGCCAACAGTGACCATGATTCTCCATGTGATGGCATGCAGGAGGGTAAGAAGGAGATTGGTTGCCTAGGGTTCTCGGCTCTCAGA